AATTTACTGAGAAGATGTAATGTGATAATGAATGTGCACTGTGTCTGGCTGGAGTAAATGTTCAATAATTATTAACTCTTATTCTTACTCATCTTCAAATAACTGGCTGGAATAGAACTTTCACTGCCAAGCCTTAATACCTCCAGGCGTATTATTATTATTAATTACTCATTCTTAATTACTCCATTCTCTGGTCCTCATGGCTGACTTTTCACACCCTTATTATATAGCACACACCGCCTTTTATTCTAGCGGTGTGGTTACTCATCTTTCTGACTATGGGCTCCCCGAGCTTCTATGTCTCAGACCTGACTGCAGAAAAGGTGAGCACCACAGAGACGCTTTGCTAGCTAGCTATGATCCCCTTGGACATGGACCTTTACAATTTCCTCTTCTCCTCAGATACTCTTCTTTTGGGTCACACCCAGCAATGCACAGGGATTACTCCTAGCTCTTGCACTCAGGAATTACTCCTGGTGGTGCTTAGGGAACTATATGGGATGCTGGGAATCAAACCTGGGTCTGCCGCGTGCAAGGCAAAAACACCTTACCTGCTGTGCTATCGCTCCAGCCCCTTTTCCTTTCCGAAAGGCCGGAGCCATGCTTCCACAAAGAAGTACTATCTACAAATTAAGGACAGAAGTGTTGCAGGGAACGACAGCCCTACGCACCACCTCCCCTGGAAGCTCCCTGAAGCTGCTCAGCTTGGGAAGAGGAAAGCCCAGGGGAGGGGTACACATGTAGAAGTGGGGAGCCCGCAGGCCAGCAACTTTCAGGGCTACACCTGGCTGCTTCTCACTGGCAGCTGAACCACAGAGTCCTCTACGGAACTATTCCCACGTCCTCTGGGGATGGCTGGTACCACCCAGCAGATTTCCTGGAGCTCAGCCTCCTTCCTCCCCAGCACTAACCTTGAGTGCCACCAAGTTTGGTAGCACCCGGCTCAAGGAAATTAGGTCCTTGCCCTCATCCAAGGACAGAGGGCAGCAAGTGTCTCCTGGATTGGGGTGGCTGCTATGCCCTAATCCTCTCCAAGGAGGTTGAAGATCCTTCTTGCCTTCCGCAAAGTCTTGAGGCCCATTGTTCTCTAAAGCAGCCCATCCCCACGACCCAACCCAGTCTTTTGTAGTGGGCTCACTGACAGGGAAAGAGGAAACTGAAGAAAGAGTTCCAGTCCAGATCATTAATCCTGCCCTAACAGGAACAATCAGGGTGTAGAATGGGTGTTTGTGTTTTAAGGCCACACCCAGTTGTGCTCAGGGATCACTTCTAGTGGGCTCAGGGACCATACAGGGTGCCAGGGATTAAACCCGGGACAGCTAAGTGTAAGGCTAATGCCTTGCCAGTGGTATTACCGCTCTGGCCCCAGGACTGGCTGTTTTGAGCCTTCTGATAAGAATAGCTATATTTAAAAATTAAAAAGATTTGTGATTATGTTATCTCAATTTTATAGATCCTGTGAGTACTTCTTTGTGTTCAGTAGCTTTTATGAGTATGGTAATACATACCATACTAATAAAATACATTAGTATGGTAATACATACCATAGTAATAAAAGTATACATACTTTCATTAGTATGTATATGACAGTTTTACCTTTATTTGCTTATACATCCCCTGAAGTGTGTTCATCCCATTTTAGAGATGGAGAAACCAAGGCTCAGAAGAGATAAGTCACTTCTTAGCAAAGGAGTCACTGTTGAAGTCGGATTTTTTTTTTTTTTGGCTTTTTGGGTCACACCCAGCGATGCTCAGGGGTTACTCCTGGCTCATGCACTCAGGAATTGCTCCTGGGGGTGCTCGGGGGACCATATGGGATGCTGGGACTCTAACCTGTGTTGGCCATGTTGGCTGCATGCCAGGCAAATGCCCTACCCGCTGTGCTATTGCTCCAGCCCCTGGAGTTGGATTCTTGACTTCCAAATCCAGGCTTTGTTTTTGGGCCACACCCAGAGGTGCTCAGGGCTTACTCCTGGCCCTGCATTCAAGAATTACTCCTGGAAACCATTTGGAATGCAGGGATCAAACCCAGGTTAGCTTGGTGTAAAGCAAATGCTTTGCCCCAGTTCCAACCAGTGGTTACTATTTCCTGAGCAATACCCCTCTGAGAATTAATACAGACAGTAGACCCTCGACCTGGAACAGTGTACCTCTGTATCCATTCACAAATATTTTGCAAAAAGCAAAATAGTATATAGCTTCTAGATAAAGAGCTTTAGTGACTAAGGTTCTACGGTTCACAGTTAATTGACCTATTAGGGGCCAGAAAACATTTTCCCCTGACTCTAAGGTTTCATGAGCCCAACAACCACTTCCTGATCCTGCTGATTTGAGTGGGTTTTCTTTTTTTTGGGGAGGAGGGGAGGTTGGGCCATAACTGGCAGTGCTCAGACTTACTCCTGGCTCTGTGCCCAAGAGTCACCCCTAGCAGGTTCAGGGAGCCATATGGGATGTTGGGGATTGAACCCTGGTTGACAGCACACAAAGCAAACACCTTACCTGCTGTACTATTACTTTGGCACCTCTAAATGTAGCTAGTCCAAGGCTATTTGGAGCCCACACTGAAGGAAGCATCTTACTAGCTTCCTGGTAAAAAGTGAAGTTCCTGGCATGCCACAGGAAAACAAATGAAAGCACCTTCCCTGGAGGCTATTCCTTGATTACCATCAGAGGGTAGTGGCCTGGTTGGGGTGCCAGCACGACATCCCAAAGGGTTACTGTGCTCGCTTTCATAACTGTATTACCAGTTAATCCATTGCTCCCTTGGGGATACCTCTGCTGCCCAGTTCAACCTCAGTCACATTCCTTTTCTGTGGCCCTGATTTCTTGGCTCTGCCTCAAGTTTCAATCACTGGCTTGTTCTGGAAAACTTGTTAGAAAGTTATGGCAAAGATGACAGAAAAACCCTAGTAGCTCACTAGTTCTCAACTGTTGTGTTTGTGCCCCCCTCTGCCAGCAGACGTTATTCAATAGCTGATACTTAGTGGTGGGGGAGAGGTAGTTATTATTAGCATCTAATGTGGCTTAGCATCACAGGATAAGCCTCCTCCCCTAGCAATGAATTAGCGAATTTTTGAAGTCAAAAGTTGTGACATCCTGTGGTAAAAGACCACGATTGTTGTATGATGAACGGATTTTGGGGTTGGAAATGTTGGCCTGCTGTCTGATCTGGGCCTCGGCTTGTCCATGAACCTTCAGATGAGTCAGCAGTGATGAGAACACAGTGCAGGAGCTAAAACGTCCGCTTTTACTGACCACCTATGTGGCCTTTATGGGCTTCACTACTGTGTCTCTGTGGGAAAACATTTCACTGGCTTGTTGGAAATTCTCACAGAATATTCCTTATACTGTCTGACAGCTAATGCCAGTCTCCTTGCTTCTCTTCCTTTTGCTTCTACAGGACACACATTCCATCATACATCAACAACCATTCCACTTGTTTCCACTGTACATTCCACTGCCCAAAGTCCTTGGAGGGCAAGAACCTTAGATTTATTTGGCCTTTTGCAGAGCTCTAGGATAACCATCTTCCAAGTTACATATAAATTGAATTCTTTTTTTTCCCAGTCTTTTCAGCACACTCAGGGGCTGCTCCTGGCTTTGTACTTAGGAATTATTCCTGGAGGTGCTCCTTGAAGGACTATATGAAATGCCAGGGATCAAACTCGGGTTGGCTACGTGCAAGGTAAGCGCCCTACCCACTGCACTATCGCTCAGGCGCTGAGTTCATTTCTTTTCTTTTTTTTTTTTTTTTTTGCTTTTTGGGTTACACCCGACAATGCACAGGGGTTACTCCTGGCTCTGCACTCAGGAATTACTCCTGGCAGTGCTTGGGGACCATATGGGATGCTGGGAATCAAACCCGGGTTGGCCGTATGCAAGGCAAACACTCTACCTGCTGTACTATTGCTCTAGCCCCTGAATGTCCAGTTTGAGACCCTGTTTATTAGTACCTCTGCAGTAATTTCATCCATGCATTGGTCCTGCAGGGCACTTCAGCTCTGCTGTCTTTTTCTATTTTGCTTTTTTGGGTCACACCCTGCAATGCTCAGGTATTACTCCTGGCAATGCTCAGGGGACCATATGGGATGCTAGGGATTGAAGCCGGGTTGAACTCATGCAAGGCAAATGCCCTCCCCGCTGTGCTATCGCTCCAGCCCCTTCAGCTCTGCTCTTGCCTGCCTTATTAGTCCCACTTTAGCAAGTGCAGGAAGCTCACAGAGCAGCACCTGAAATACTGCACAAAATTCTCTAAGCATTTCATGAGTAGCTTCACCATCAGAAAATGCTCATTTCATCTCTAACAAAAGACAGACTGTAAATTCCTAAGCACAGGAACTATGCTCCTCATCTGCTTTATTCAAGAGTCTTTAGGGATTTCTGAAGAAGCTGAGAATGAAACCAAATGCAGGTCTCTGTCCACCTCTCAGGGGCTGTACAATTATTTTTCCCCTTTAGAAGCCAACTCGTTTTGTGATCAAAATAAAAGTCAGGATGGGGTGGCAATGAAAGGCTGAGGCTGGCCCAAGGGCAATCCCCATCTCTGTCAGCTTTTCTGTTAAGACATGTAATTTTTGCCCTCCTGGGCCTCAGTTCCCTCATTTGCAAAATAGATGATAGTATGATAGTACTTCTAATTTGTGAGACTGTTGAGCATTGCAATGTATATCCTTGGTATAGAACTTAGTGAAAGTAAGCTCTTCAAAAATACTGCACTTTGGGCCAGAGAGATAGTGTAGTGAGCAGGGTGCCTGCCTACACATAGCCAATCTGAGTTCAGTCCCTGGTATCCCATATGGCGCCCAAGGACCGCCAGAAGTGATTCCCGAGTGCTGAGCCAAGGGTAAGCCCTTACAAACATTGCGCATCAATTCATGGCAGTGCAGCTTCTTAACCTTGGAAGGTTCTTGTCACCAATGTCTGAACCATCGATTTCCCTCGTCCCACCTTTCCACCAAGGCCCTCCCCGCGGCCAAAGGACGGAGGCGCAGGCTTATGGGTTTAGAGAAACGTTGTGTTTAATGGTAAAGCTCAGTACACTCCAGTACTGGGTGTGGCCTGGAGTCGAAGCAGCAGGGATGGGTAGGTGACCCCCACGGAGCCTCACATGGCGAAGAGGATGAGGAAGGCGACCATCAAACAGAAGAGCCCCATGGCCTCAGACAGGGCAAAGCCCAGGATGGCATAGGAGAAGAGCTGCTGCTTGAGAGACGGGTTCCTGCCAGGGACAGAGATCGATGCCAGTCCAAGGAAGGGGAAGGGACTGAGGGCATGGGTGGTGGAGGACAGGAAGGTTAAGTGAAGGGGAAATCTGAACAGTGAGGGCCCGGCCTATCTGGGGGCCTGGAAGGGCACACAGAGTAACTAATGAGGCAAGTTTAAGTGAACCAGATTGAAAACATATCAATTCTGATTCAGAGATCAGTATGCGGGGGGGGGGGGGGGTGTCAGGGGGTGGGGGTAGGGATGGGGAACAGGAGGTAAATGAAATCAACTCCAAGTCCAAAGGGAGCCCCTCCTGTTGATTCTCCCCTGCCAAAAAAACAGTGGATTTGTAGTGGCAGGTGCTTGAGGCCACCCCCAAACTTACCTGGCATAACCGATGATCAAGCTGCCAAACACGGTCCCAATGCCAGCCCCTGAGCCAGCCACACCCACCGTGGCGGCCCCAGCACCAATAAACTTGGCTGCCGTGTCAATGTCCCGGGAGACCACGCTGGTCTGGAACTCCCGCCTGGCCACCTGGAGCAGGGAGTTGTTATACGAAGGCTGCGGCTGAGAGAGGGAAGAGAGCGAAGAACAGGAGTGAGAGCAGGGAGAGAGCAGGCACAGAGCCGGCTGGCTCCACCTTCACCCCACCCACCCGCGCTCTGAAACCGCTGGCAGAATGCCCAGATGACAGAGGGCTAGGACTGTGCAGTATATGGGACTTAGTCTTAGGGTTTGGTTCCAGTGGCAGCAAGGGAAACTGAGTGGGTTAGGGAAACCTCGCTTGTGAACAAGCTTCTCAGAACGCTCAACTCGAGGAACTTAAAACCACGAAAACAGGATTTTCTAATTTTCCTCCCCCAACGGCCTAAAGGCAACTTTCCTAACCTGAAGGACACCTGTTTGGGGAAAGTCACGAATGGCCCACGCTCCCTTACCTCTTTAGATAGGATCTCAGGCCTGTTCAGGAAGGAGGCAGACACGGGCCTGATTAGACCCCTGGTACAACAGCGGATCTATAAAAAGCAGAAAGACACAACAACCCCACCACACACCTTAATCAGAAACAAGAAAAACAAACAAACAAGCAAACAAACAAACCCAACAACATTGCTGAGCATTGTAAAAAAAACAATTATAATACTATAAAAGGGAAAAGTTCAATGCATCTCACGGTCAAGTCACAGATTCCTGCTTTTACCAGAGAGGCCTGCCCCACCAAGGGCTGTCCCAAGACCCTGGCAGAGTCTGCAGTGGCAAACTTCCCATTAAAACTGGGGTACCAAAGTTCACTAGTTTAGGCCCGGCCCTAATCGTATCCCAGGACAGAATAAGGATCTCCCCTGTATTCTAGCAGGTACAGGGCATATATGTACTAAAGTCACAGAAGGAATCAGACGGGGAAACACTGGCTAAAAAAGTGCTTAGGGCCATACAGCCTGAATGAAATGACAAGGCCAGACGCTTGCCAGAACCTTGGCATCCTGTCCTTGAAGTTTTTCAGGAATGGAATGCTGAGGTTCTCAAGCTCAGCAGAGCACTGGGAACACCCGGGAGTTCTAAGCACTACGGATGCATGGGTTCTGCCCATTCCCAGTCTAATGAACTGGTCCAGGGTGCAGCGGAGGCATCACCATTTTTAAAAACTCCCCACGTGATTCCAAAGTGCAGCCAAGATGGAGAATCACTGCTTCAGTGGGCTCTTTGGCTATGGCCAAGTCAGACGCTGTGGGTAAAGGTCAGATCCTGACTCTGACGACATCCCCAAGCCAAGATAGCTTGGTTTACAGGGTCGAATAAACAGGGGCTAACTGTATCTCACCCTGCGTCCTCTCCAAAGAGCCATTATCATTAGGATGTCAAGCTTCCCTCTGTTCATTCATTAATCACGGATGGGTCCCACACCGGGCATTATAAAATCCATCCAGAGTGGCAACTTACCAGAGCCGGAGTAACGAGCAGTGTCCCGGTGGTCTGCATTTTTTTCGGTCTATAGAGGGGAGAAAAATATTTTTTTTCAACCACTGACAGCTTAGTGGTTTGCTTACAGTGACGACCTTCAGTCGTCCCCTTCACCCCGCCCGTCCGCCCTGGACCACCGTCTTCCTCCCATCGTGCCCCCAGCGGAGGAGGGTGTTAGAGGTCAGAGGGGCAGAGCGAATCCTGGTTCACCACTTTCCAGCGCGACGCGTTTGCAAAGAAAGGTCACGGAGATCGGAAGTAAAGGAAGGAGGCCTAGTCCCAGGAGGGAAATGTTGCCCAAGAGGAGGATTTCCCCGAAGGGCTGCAGGCAGATACTGGGCAAGTGCTGTGCAAAGAGCTGCCCATTTTACACAGCTGTCCACCGCCCGCCTCTGCCAGGTCGGTTAATCGTTCATTACCGTTGGAAATGAACATTACTTGTTAAGACTACGGAAACCCACCGCCTCCCCCGGCGAGAGAAAAAATCCTCTCCACCCAGCCCTGTCCAAACCCCGGCCGATCGCTAGCAGCCGGCCCCAAGTCACCTGCGCTCCCACTGCCCAGCTGCCCCTGCTCCGACCACAGCGCTGCCCTGCTCAAGGTGACTGACTCACCTCCTAGCTTTAGCTGTAGGTCCCAGCGATCAGCTCCCCGACCCACGTGTCCCGGGGTACCCTCACTCTGATTGGCCGCAATACCCCCGCGCCCCCATTGGCTAACGTCTTCTGGTTCTCCTTTCTCATTGGTTGTCCGCGGCTTTTTCCTCCAGCTCTCCGCGAGAGCTTCGTAGCAGTTCCCGCCTCCCTGCGGGCGAAGGCGGGGCTTGTCTCCAAAGTCTGGCTCCCGATTGGTCAATCCTTGAAACCCTCGACCATAGAGTCGGCGGGACGCGGCGGTTCCATAACCTCCCGCACAAAATGGCGACCAAGGTGGAAGCGCAGAAAAAGGCGTGGGAGAGATGACCGGACGCCTTACGCACAGACACATGACCTTGGACCTACGCCTTCATTCGGGCGCGCGGGCCTTCAGGCGCGTTGCATTCTGGGATCTGTAGTCGGGCCCAACGCCCAAGGACCGCTGAGATCCCGCGAGACGTTCCTTCTCCGGCTGGGGGAGCCAACGCCTTTGCGGTGCTTTCCCGCCGTAGAATTTGTGGCAGTCTTCCTCTCTCTGGGAGAGTAAAAGCCAGCCCTGTTCTTGAGACCTCTCTTGTGAGCGAAATCGCCAGCATTTAGCGACCAGGCACTAGCAACCGGGTTTTTAGGCGGTTCACACCCTGCGATGCTTAGCGTCTGCTCCCTGCAGGCTGCGCTGGAGTCGCCCCTCGTGGTGCTGGGAGGCTGGGGCGTGGGGAGACAGCCATGCGGCGCGGGTGGGGTGGGGTCCCACTTCGACCTTCCGCATGCAAAGCATGCGCACTAGCCCTTTGAACCGTTTTCCCACGGAAGAGGTTACAAAAAGTTTTTCCCTTTAATATTGTTAAAAGCAACATAGAAAGGTAAAATGATACCCGATAGGGAAGCGAGCTCAAGGTAGGACAGGCAGCGTACTACGGAAATACCAATGCAGGGACCAGAGAGACAGTACAGTGGGTGGGGCGCTAAGCCTTGTACGCAGCCCACCCGGGTTCCCCCAGCTCCACAGAGGAGCCTCGCCCGGGGGGTGATCCCAGAGCTGAGAGCCAGGAGTAAACCCTGAGCACTCCTGGGTGTGGCCCCAACCCCCCCCCCCCCCCCGCCACACCCCACCCCCATAAATTGAAGGGACAAACGTTAAACTTTAAACATTTTGTGGACACAATTGGCAGTGCTCAGGGGTTGCTCCTGAATCACTCACTAGTGGGGCTTGGGGGTGGGGGCACCATATGGGATGTAGGGGATCGAACCCAGGTGGGCCATGTGCAAGGCAAATGCACACCCGCTGTACCATCTCTCTAGCCCCAGAACGTTGAACTTTACTAACTTTACTAATAAAGGAAATAAAAGTTTAAACGCAACATTAAGTGAGTCACTCTTCTGTTGGTGAGAATGAATTAAAAGGTTTTTTTTATTTTTAGCAGGGCAGGGTGAGGAGCCACACCAGGCAGTGCTCAGGGGTTATTCCTGACTCTGTGCTCAGGAATCATTTCTGGTAGGGCTCATGGAACCAGGGATCGAATCTGGCTTGGTAGTGCAGGCACTCCTTACTTGTTGTGTTATTTCCAGCCCCTCTCTATCCTCTTTTATTTTTTTTTTCTTTTTGGGTCACAGCACACCTGGCGATGCACAGGGGTTTCTCCTGGCCCTGCACTCGAGCTATTCCTGGTGGTGCTCAGGGAACCATATGGGATGCTGGGAATCGAACCCGGGTCGGCCGCGTGCAAGGCAAACGCCCTACCCGCTGTGCTATCTCTCCAGCCCCTCTCTATCCTCTTTGATCCAGGAAAATCTCTTCTAGGAATCTGTTCTGAAGAACAAATCAGAAGAGTTCCGTTCATAGGCTGTTCATTGCAGAGTTCTTTAGGATGGAAACAAGTAATGTGGTAAACAAGAAACATGGAAGGACATATGCAGGTCAAGCACCTTACCCACTGTACTATTTTCTGGAGTCTTGGATGTGATGTTCTAGCACCAATCCTACCACTAGTGTTAGCTTTCCTCCACTTGTCTTCCCTCTTACCCCGTAGCCACCCTGAGAGGTACATTTTAAAGTTTGGTTGTTGTAATTCGGATCCCATGTTACTTTGTTTTGTTTTGGGGCTCTCTCTTTTGGCCTGTGACGTCTTCTATCAGTAGAATTGTTATAGGAAATAAATGAGATGGTAGCACAGTAGCACTGTCCTCCCGTTGTTCATCGATTTGCTCTAGCGGGCACCAGTAACGTCTCCATCGTGAGACTTGTTGTTACTGTTTTTGGCATATTGAATACGCCACGGGGAGCTTGCCAGGCTCTGCTGTGTGGGCAGGATGCTCTCGGTAGATTGCCAGGCTCTCCGAGAGGGACAGAGGAATCGAGAGAGACGGAGGAATTGAACCCGGGTGAGTCGCATGCAAGACAGACGTCCCACCTGCTGTGCTATCTCTCCAGCCCAAATGAGATAGTACAAGCAGAAATGCTCCTGTTTATTGTTTTTTGCCCCACCTGGGATGCTCAGTTTTGTTTTTGGGACACACCTAGTGATGCTCAGGTCTACTCCCAATTCAGTGCTCAGGGCTTGCTCCTGCTGTTATTGGGGGACTGTGTGGTCTGGGGCTCAAATTCAGGCCTTCAGAATGCAAATCATGGTCTCTGGCCCTTTAAGCTGTTCCCCTGGCTCCAGCAAATTCATCCTTACCTAAGACAGTTCTGACTTTAAAACTGACTTCTTCCCAGGGTGAAAAGATAGTACAGAGGTTACTTGATTGCAGCTGTGAACCTGCTTTGAATCCCCTGGACCAGATATGGTTCCCTGAGCACTGCCAGGAGTGGCCCTGAGCACTACCAGGTATGCCCCATGCAAAAAAAAAAACAAAAAAAACAAAAACCATTCATCTCTTCCACTTAAAGTTTAGCTTATCTCAGACCTCCTCTATTTTCCTCCAAGTCCAGTATGTTTCTCTGACTCTGGAAATTCAATTCAATTTTTCTGAGAACTCCACAGTTCCAAGTATACTACTTGGTGTTGGGAGTACACAGTTCATAAAACCGGTTTCACCACAAGGAAACTCAGAATCAGCAAAAAGATTAATATGTAGGCACTGGGCATAGCTGTATGTAGAGCACCTGCCTTGCAAACGTGAGGCCGGTGATGCTCAGAGATCACTGTGATCCCTCGAACCAGGCCACATGCCTGGGAGCGAGCCCTGTGGCTCTGCTCTGTAGGGGCCCAGAACGGAGTGTGCAGTCTCAGTGTGCCTAGCTCCTGATGATGATAACCCTGGTCATCACAGAAGCAACAGAGTGAAGAGGCAAGGGAGATTCAAACAAGAATTTTTAAAATAAAAGTAAAATTAAAAAAAATATTTGAACAAATAGAATTAGATGTTCATCAAGTCGAATGAAAAATACAAAGATAGGAAGGACTGGAGCAACGGTACTGCAGGTAGGGTGCTTGCCTTACACCTGGCCAATATGGATTCTATCCCCAGAACCCAGGGCTTCATAGGAGTGACCCCTGACTTCAGAGCGAGGAGTAAGCCCTGCAAACCAAACAAACTCAAAGATAGGGGGAACCAACCATGGGGAATACAAGGATATTTTTTTTTCTTCAAAAAGAAATCATTTTTTGGTGGACCAGATAGATAGTACAGTGGCTGCATGTGGCTGACCCGTATTTGATGCCCCATACAGTTACCCCGAGCAGCATCAGGAATGATCCCTGAGCACAGAGTCAGGAGTAAACTCTGAGCACTGCTGTGCATGGACTCAAAACAAAGTCAAATCACTTTTTGAAACAAAAAAGTACCATCTGGCTGAGTTTTTTTGGGGGGCAGGTGGTGTTGGGGAGAATATCCTTCAGTGCTTGGAGCTTACTCCTGGCTCTGTGCTCAGGGATCACTCCTGGTGGTTCTTGAGGGACCATTTGGGGTGCCAGGATTCAAACCAAGGTGGCTGCCTGCAAGGCTAGCACATCTACCTCTGTATTATTTCTCCAACCCTGGCTTGAGCTTCGAGGCTACATGTGAGTTTACTAGCTATGTGGAGGTAGCTGCAATTCCATTTCAGGAAATGACCACCCTCTTGATACAACAACCTAAAAAATGCTACATAAAAATGTATTTTCAGTATACAGTCTTGTTCTTGCCAGTACTATCAATAAATTTTATTTTACTTTAAAATGGGCTGGACCTATAGCACAGCGGTAGGGCATTTGCCTTGCATGCAGCTGACAGGGCTGACCCAAGTTCGATTTCTCTGCCCCTCTTGGAGAGCCCGGCAATCTACTGAGAGTATCTTGCCTGCACGGCAAAGCCTGGCAAGCTATCCATGACGTATTTGATATGCCAAACACAGTAACAACAAGTCTCACGATGGAGACATTACTGGGCCCACTCGAGCAAATCGATGAACGACGGGAGGACAGTGAGAGTGACTTTAAAATAAATTTTATTTTACTGCAAAGTAAAATAAAATAAAATAAAATATTGCAGTAAAATAAAATATTCTATACTCTATCCAAGGCTTGGAGCGATAGCATGGCGGGTAGGACATTTGCCTTGCATGAGGCTGGCCTGGGTTTGATTTCTCCGTCTCTCTCAGAGAACCTGGCAAGCTATTGAGAGTATCCTGCCTGCACGGCAGACCCTGGCAAGTTCCCCGTGGCGTATTTGATATACCAAAAACAGTAACAAGTCTCACAATGGAGACGTTACTGGTGCCCTCTCTGAGCAAATTGATGAACAACAGGACGACAGAATCCCAAATACCTCCTTTAGTAAATGACCCAGGGGTGCATTATAGCAACAATAATAAAAAACTCGGCTGGAGAGATAGGACGGCGGGCCGGGAGCTTACCTTGCACATGGACAACCCAGTTTTGATCTCTGGCACCCCTTATGGTCCCTGAAGCACCACCAGAAATGATCTCTTGAGTGTGGAGCCAGGAGTAAGCCCTGATTACTGCCGGACATGGCCTCCCCCTACCCCAAGTCCCGAGACAAACACATTAAAAAGTAAAGAAATAAAATGAGTGAGTTCTAGGTTAGAGGTGTCCTTGGGCTGAAACAATGTAGAACTCCTCTGGATCCATGCAAAATTCCC